ATGCATGCGTTTCTTTTCGTTATGCGGCTGGACACTGGTTACCGATACCTGCCCGTAGCTCAATTTGGATCTATCTGCTCGCGAAGCATGTGTTTTAGAGTAATAATGATTTAGAGTATTAATGATCTATGGAACCAAGTTTTAAAAGCGTGCGTCTCAGTTAAATGAATGGAAGATGGTTGCTATACGTCTTGGTAGGAGAGCTTACACGTAGTCTCCCTGTCCTCCTTTGTCCTCTCTGCTCCTTTTGGCAAAGGTCTATTGAATCGAAAGTTCACCATAGACGTTCCTTTTTCTTCACCATGGACGATGGTTTACAATGGCCCATGAGTGGAATGTTGCAATATCTGTCAACATTATTCCGGAGTCCTGGCATTCTGGACTAGATAAGAATGGTTAAATGGTTTGTGTTGTAATGTGACGCTCATTTTGCTGGATGCTATACGACGATGGCCGAGGAACTGCATTGTGCTGGTTATGATCGATCTCTATTGGGTCTATCTTTTCAGGTGGTTCCTGTAGATATGCATGGGGGCCAGCCACGGAGCGCCGAGGCCTGAAGCGGGAACTGAACGTATAGCTGACCCCACTGCGCCGGTCGGAGGTGAATTGTCGCCTGTCTCGTAGAACTGTGTGACCTGGGCAGCCTCACTGGTTCCCGCGGCAGTGAGCTGTCGCCTGTCTCGTCAAGAACTAGACAACCCCGTCGACCCCCGTGCCTGTCTCGTAGAATCGCGTGACTTGGGTCACCCTCGGGGGGTCTCCGCTGCGGTGAGATGTTGCCTGTCTCGTAGAACCGTCTTCATACGAGTGAGTGAGCCATCGGCAGGGCCGCTTTTCGGTGACCGTCGGAAGCGGCCGTCGGAGGTGACAGACCGCTTTCAGTCGCGTTTCCGCTAGCATTCATCTCCCAGTGAACCCTAGGGACCCTGTGGTGCCTGCAGGGCCCGCTGGGTCCCAGGGGAGGTGTCAGCGCCGTCCTCCGGGAGCGGGACGATCTCACCTTCCGGTGGCACCGGCGCCGACGCCGCGGGCCGTCCTGGCCGCCCGCCCCGTGAGCCGGACGCTGGCAGCGCGGCGCGCCGCCCCCGGGGCCGCTCGGGCGGAAGCGGTTCGGCGCGGCCCGGCTCTGTCCGGCCATATTTACGAGCTGCCGAGCTGCCGCGGCCGCGGCGGCCGGCGAGAGGCCGATCGATGATGTCAGCTGCGTCCCCGGCGAGCCGGCGGCCCGGGTCTGCCCGCCGCCGCCGCGCCGCCGCGCCCCGGCTCCCCCGGACAAAGGGAGGCATCTCGCGGGTGAATTCGGCCGCATCCGGGAGCAGCTCGCAACAGGAGGCGTCCTCTCACACTAATCTCCTTGTCGGACGCTGAAAACGGTAGCCCTGTCGTGTGCCCCACAGCCAGTTTCTCGGGATATTGACGTCATTGAAGAGCGACAAAAACGGCCATACACTCGTCTTTATGGGCCGTTCAGCGGCAGGAGAGGGACCTCATTGACCGCACGATGGGCGGGCTATCAATATCGGCCGGCCGCCGGCAGTGGTTATCTCATCCTGCCTGCCGCCGTCCGACCCGGCTGGACCCGCCCTCTGACCGGCTGGACAGGGGCGGACCGCAACACGCGGCGTCCGGGGCGTGACGCGCCTGCTGAGGGGTCAGTGACGTCACTAAGGGCACCAGTGACGTCACTGAGGGTGGGAGGACAGTCTGCGGCTGCCTGCGATCGCGACAGGTGACTCCGACAGGGGGCCAACTTTCTGGTCACTGATTTGCAGCTGCTTGTCTTTATACTTGCGTGTGAATGGGATTGGGGAAAATTGCTCGCGGAGAGGCCTTTATAATTAATCTTTGCGCATATTATTGCGAGGTTGACGGGATATTATTACCCATTTATTTGGTAGTTCGTAGAAGATTTCCTTGCTGAATCGTAAACCCATCTACCGAACCCTGACCTGGGGTTTCCATTTTCACAACGGCTTCGGCGTTGCCTAACTTATACTTATCAGTCGGGAATTGTGAGGTCGTTCTTCCAGGAACATGAACTTTTCGGCCGTGCAGATGACATGTGTTTCCAGCCTTTCCCAATATGCCACAATGTGGCACCGCTCCACTTTCGTTCTGACATTTATCTGGCTCGCCGATATCGCGGCGGGGTCGTTCATCAATATTAAACAGAGGTAAATCAGCGGGGCCGTGTGCCATCTATCAGAGGGCCGTCAGCGGCCGGCTGCCTGTACTGGCCGGGCCTGTCGGCCGCTGCAGGGCCACTGCCGACTCCGGGGCAGACGACGAGTGAGTATTGTATTGTATTGTATTGTATTGTATTTACGTCATAGACTCATCCCTTCATGAGATCGGAATCACAGGGCTATTCTCGAGTCAGAGTCAACACACGCTAAGAAATGCAATGATGAGGATAAAAAGTGAACACACATAAACCACACTACACACACGATGCAGAAGCTAAAAGCGGTTACAGTGACGTGTCAGCTCATGTCACCGAAGATAAGAGTTCTAAGACCTTGCTGGTAAACATCGAGGTGGACATGTCCCAGAACTCGCGTGGTAGGACGTTATAGCCTGCGGCAGCGCGGTACACGAATTGCCGCTTCCCCGCAGCCGAGCCGTGTATGCGGGGAAGACTAAGCAGGTGGTCCTGCCTGGTGCTGCGGCTACGGTCTGGACGCTCGGCATTAGTGGCAAATAGTGCAGCTAGTGACTCGGGCTGACCTGTTCGTCTAGCTTTGTGTAGGATGTTTAGGGTTTGGGCTTGAACCATAGTGGAGGGGTCCGGCCAGCCGAGTGAGGCACGGACAGAGGAGATGTGGTCGAATTTCTTTTTGCCGGAGATGATGCGGGCCGCAAAATTTAGAATTTTGTTGATGGTGGCGAGGTTCTTGGCAGACCCGTTGCCATAGACGGAGAGGCAGTAGCGGACGTGGGAAAGGACGAGGGCAGACACAAGGATTGGGAGAGTGCCGGATGGTAGGTAGTGGCGGATGTGGGAGAGACCGATAAGGATGCCGAAGCACTTCTGTGACAGTTGCGATACGTGCGAGTCCCAAGTGAGATGGCGATCAAAAGTGACACCGAGATTTTTTGCTTCAGTGCAAGGTGATAGCGCGGCTTGCCGAAACTTGACCGTGAACGGTGGGAGGTCTCGCAGATTTTGACGTGAGCCGATGGGAAGTAGCTCGAATTTTGACTCGTTAAGTTTTAGACCGTTCGAATGAAAGTAATCACCAAGCGACTGGAGAGATGGTGAGTGACCCAGTTCGACCCCGCATCCATCCTGTGTGTCAGATAGGTCTGATTTGATGGCGCACCGCGGTGCATGAGTGTCGGTGCGGCAGAATATGGGGTGCACAACTCGAAGACACTTCTTTTTAGAGCGTGTAGAAGCACAATGGTAACAACTCTTCAGCGACGTAAAATTGAAAACAAGGTGAAATTGCCTTTAAAGCGATTAGCCAGGTTAGCAACATAACATCTTAGTTGAGCAGTAGCTGGGCTATTACCCAAGACCTGAAATGACCTTTAGGCACTGTCACAATCGCGGGGAAGACAAGGCGTAATGATCTTTGAAGTGTGGAATGGCATAAGATGTGGGAAATTATTTTGTTTTAAATCGCACGTTTTCACTTATCTTCTACCTGGCTGGTCGTGTTGATTTATTGAATGTTTTGACCAGATTGTCCCTGCTTGCGGTAGGATGCGTGTTCTCAAGTCCCAGTTTCAAAACGCTGTTTGTTATAAGGCACTTCGGTAATTTTGTCAAAATATTCAATCTAAAACTCAATGGCGCTGCTTTGTTGATCTTAATTTACACTGCAAAAGTTTGGACATTTAGCTTTTTCAAAATTTAAATATTAAATTCATTTTTAAGTATTGAAGAAGGATCAACTCAGTAAGCACTTCAAGCACCGCGCTCCTTCATTCCAAGCTCTTAATTTCAGGATAAGTTAACGACACTCGGCCACAGCCGACAGGTCAAGTCATCAACAATCGTTCGCTCCGGGGTATGCTAATGCTAAGGAATGTGCGACCGAATGATGGGAGAAGGGCACATTCGACCCATAATGTAGTATTGCTTTCGGTCGTCTAATCATTAATGAATGAGTGTCATGCAATATGTGAAGGAGTAGCTAGCGCAGTTTCTCGTACTCGCACATGAAACTTCTTACATACCACAAAATTCAAAATAACATTAGCATTTCTCGGAAGCACGGCGCACCTGCTGAAAATGCATGAGTAGCAGACGGTAATCTACAGTTTGTTTGCCAGTGAAAGACCAACACATGTTCACCTCAGTATTCTGCGACCGTGACGTAACTGAAATGTAGCTCAATTGGCTGCAAACCTAACGCCTGCACAAGCAGCAACAAAAAGGCGTAGCTGGACAAAATACTGGACAAAGCGACCATTTTCTCCCATTATCCCTTCACGCCGACTGGAAAGACGAAACGCTCGTCGAGACGATGTATGTGCGGAATGCTGAACGGGGTTGCAGTTGAAAAGGCAACAAAAATGTTTGCCATCGGGAATTTTGCTCATGTTCGTTGAACGATGCAATGAATGACTCGGATCGCTCCATGTGGTTTACTTTGATGTCACAGATATGTCAGATTGCTCAACTGACGTGACAAGTTTGGACTTTGAATGCATGAATATTCAAACTTGATATAATATGGACCCCTGTAACTTCACAAAACAGATGTCTAGAGATTATAGACGAGATGAATGAATGTGTATCCATAGACCTCTGTACAGAGGTCTTTGGTGTATCGGAACATCTGACCTCGACTTTGAGAAGACAATTCATGATAACGTATAGATGCAACGGCAGCCATTTTGTCAATCTCAAAATGAACATTCCCGTCCAGTTAGTTGTTGCTTCTGTAACGTTCCATTTTCTCATGATACTGTTCGTTCATCGTTGTGCTGTCATTAATCTTATTAATAATATAGACGACACACACTCATTTCTCATTTTTACTCACATTGCGACCACCCAGGTCTGGTCGTAGTCGAGGATGTCTCCATCCGGGCCGGCGCACGTTCCCTGAATGGTCTTGGCCAGCTGCGTCACTGCAAACAACGGAGGGTAAGAAATGCCAGTCAAAATCGGAAAGAGCGAGAGCGAGAGCGAGAGCGAGAGCGAGAGCGAGAGCGAGAGCGAGAGCGAGAGAGAGAGAGAGAGAGAGAGAGAGAGAGAGAGAGAGAGAGGAGAGAGAGAGGGAGAGACAGAGACAGGCAGAGACAGGCAGAGAGAGAAAGAGAGAGAAAGAGAGAGAAAGAGAGAGGGAGAGAAAGAGAGAGAGAGAGAGAGAGAGAGAGAGAGAGAGAGAGAGAGAGAGAGAGAGAGAGAGAGAGAGAGAGAGAGAGAGAGAGAGAGAGAGAGAGAGAGAGAGAGAGAGAGAGAGAGAGAGAGAGAGAGAGAGAGAGAGAGAGAGAGAGAGAGAGAGAGAGAGAGAGAGAGAGAGAGAGAGAGAGAGAGAGAGAGAGAGAGAGAGAGAGAGAGAGAGAGAGAGAGAGAGAGAGCAATCGACAATCGGAGACAGAGTGGGGAGAGGTGGCCGGGAGTCGCTGACATTTCTGCATATAAGAGAGAGCTGACGGCGTCTTGACGAGGCCAGATTGCCACATCAAGCGGGCTGTTATTAGATCGCGGGTTGTCAGCGGCCGCTACCGCTGCTCGCAGGCCCTGCCCTCGGCCCGTCGTTGTCGGCGGTGCTCTATGATATCCAGCACTGCCCTGCCGCTAACGGCGAGTAGCAGGATCGGGTCGGACGGCTCCGTAGCACTGGTCTATGGACGTTGTGCTGTCAGCAGGACGGAACGCCTCCGGGATGCTGTTCTGATATTCAGTGCTGAAGAAGTGCAGCAAATACATAGCTTGGAGCACATACGATATTTAGGGAAGTTTGCACATCTATTTACACTCATGCATTTCAGTTCAGCCCTTTGCAGTAGCGGCGGAACGCCTTCAATTAAGGGGGGGGGGGGGGGGCACTGCCGACTTTTGGTCCCATTCGCCCATAGGGCTAATGTTAAAATGCCAAAATCGAAGGGGGGCACGGTGCCCCGGTGCCCTCCCCGTTCCGCCGCCTATGGCCCTTTGTGATAACCAACATCGAATGAAATGGAAACCGTCTAAGCGCTTAGTAATATATGGGAAGGGTTCATTCTCTCTTCTCGAAGAGTTTGGTTCCTTCGTTTCAACACCGGCAAAGTACAACCCACCGCTAAAGTAATGTGTGGTTTTACCAATCTCAACGGATGGCTTTGACTGGCGATTTTTTTTTAATGCGGAGTGATCGAAAAGAAAATGTCAATAGATAAAGTTTCAGCTGCAAGGGTGACGATACATCTAAGCTACATTCAAAGTTTCATTGAAGTCTCGCTAGTCGTTCCTAGAAAGCTTCAGAAGCAGAACATACCTCTGACTGAAACCGCACATTACTTCTGCTGTGGACTGTACATAGAGTTACAACTGCCGGAATAGCGCATATCGAGGCAGATATATTCGCCCGCCAGCCGGAGATATAGAATCTGCATAATCGGTGGGCCGATCTGCTCCTCCATAGATGCCGATAATTTACCGACCCCGCGGGATAGATCAATAACCCGCTCAGGGAAGAGGCGACCTGTGGATCGTGGACTTCCGACAGAGCTGTCACGCGAGTTACGATATGTCCTGGAGCTGCAGTGGTCGTGGAATCTCAGCCGTATGCATGAGCGTACATACATTCACCGTACTGGACGTCAGTACTGAAAACCATGTGGATCAAATGTGGATACTGAGGAGGGTATACCGCATGAACCGTGCCACTTCATGTGAAGGCAGCGAATCAAGTCGTCGTGCATTAGCTCAGACAGGTTGTATCTTTTCACCCTCGCTGTCAGTCGACGTCGGCTGATTCCGCTTCTCTCGCTCGGCTGCGTTCCGGAGCGGCATTCCGGGGACGCCACACCGCCACCGCCCCGCGCCCCCGCCCCCGCCCCCGCCCCCGCCCCCGCCGCCGCCGCCGCCCCCGCCCAAGGCCAAGACGACCGCGACAGGAACCGCGCCTTGTCGGCTGACCGTGTTTAGCGGTAAGCCGCCGGCCGACTCCCCCAGAAAGGCCATTAATGCTCTGCTTGGCAGGCAGGCCAGACGCAAAATCGGCACCGGCACGGCGTGCGATCGCAGGCGGCGGGCGCGTTGCCAGCCGGCCGTCGGCTGTGTGTACGGAGACAGGACGTCGGGTCGGTCGGCGGGTCATCCTCAGCTGCCGGCGCCCCGCGGATTGGCGGCCGGAGCCGTGCCCCCGCGGGTCACGCTGGTATCACTGCAGGGGGTCGGATGATCAGTCTAGGCCATGACATCGGTGACTGGAGGCGGGGGTCGCACAGTGATGCAAATGGGGTTCACGAGTGGCCATAAATACCGAAAAGGCCCAAATTTCAAGTTCACCTAATCGAAGAAATCGTAATATGGCCAGACAGGCAAATGTTTGAAGTGTCTGAAAAACATGATTTTCATGTTTTTTTTTTCAAAACTGGCCTCGTGTATGATTGTCAGAAGTCGTGACATTTTCTATGTCGGAAAATGACTGTCAGATACTCGCAACTTCAAACGCCGCTAGTGTGCGTTCATTTCATATAAATGGCAAACATTATACATATACATTGCAATGAACCCCAAAGTCTGCTGCTTCTAATGCAGGGTCACAAAAAGCCTTATCTCTTTTGGTTTGGCGTTGATCTAACTATTTGTCATCATGTTGCAATCGCAGTTTTTTATTCAAAAATATTTGCTTTCGTTTCACCTACAGCAGTTTACACAGTGTGTGCCCGTTAGTGCACCATACCATAGCATTCCCTAATAATCATTTCTGAGCCGTACTGTGAAAGAATGAAGGCGCTAGCACAGGGCTGACCGGCGCTACTAAAGTTTTCGTCCGTTGCGGTCGGGTGCCGCGGCGCGGTGGTCGGCCCGGGCGGCCGCGCCGCGGGCGGGCGGCCACAGCGGGGGTTCGTCGGTGCATCCCTCTGCTGTTCCTAAACGAAGTGTCCTAGCGCCTCGCGACAAAACCAACGGATTGCTCTTGACAAAATCTCGCGATTGAGCATATTACTTTTGACTGAAGGTCAATATTTGACCTACTTATAGCAGGTCAAAGTTAAACGTCTGTCGAAATTGCAATCCGCGGTGAAAGCAATCCGCGACACCCGACCGCGCCGGACAAAAACTTCAATAGCGCCGGTCTGCCCTGCGCTAGCGCCTTAATTCGTTCACGGTGTGACTCCGAAATGGTTAAGAAATGCTTTGGTATGGTGCACTAACGGGCACACACTGTGTAGACTGCTGTAGGTGAAACGAAAGCAAATATTTCTTAGTAAAAAACTGCGATTGCAATATGATGACAAATGATAAGATCACCGCCAAACCAAAAAAGATGCGGCTTTTTGTGACCCAACATGAGAAGCAGCAGGCTTTAAGGATCATTGTCATGCATAATTTTTGTAGTTTGTATTAAATGAACGCACGCTAGCGGCGTTTGAACTTGCAAGTATCTGACAGTCATTTTACGACACAGAAAATGTCACGACTTCTGACAATCATACACGAGGCCGGTTTTGACAAAAATATGAAAACTATATGATTTCAGATGCGCCAAACATTTCTTTGGTTAGCCATATAGCGATTTACTCGGTTTGGTAAACTTGACTTTTTGGCATTTATGGCCACTCGTCAACCCCATTTGCATCACTGTGGGTCGGGCGGTGGTTACCCTGGCCTCTCCGGGGCCCGCTGGTCACTGGTCAGTCCTGCAGCGATAAATACAACTTGACTAAAAACAAACACCACAGCCGCCGGGATGAGCCGACAGACAATATCCTCAGTCCGACACAGCTCTGGACCGGGCTGGGTAAGTCCCGGCACGGGGTCGGTCTCAATGTCACCCACGGCGGATCTGTCGTTGGACTGCGACCTCCGACAGTCCCAGCTCGTCTCTGAGCCTGCCGTAATGCGCGGCGCCGGTGAGACCCGTCCGACGCGTCGTCAGTCACCTCCCACAGGACGGCGAGATATATGGGTGGATTGTGCTGAAAGCAGCCCAGCCCGCCAGCTTATGCTAATCAGGGATGTAAAGCAGGCATGCCGACGCCTTATTTTGAATAAGGAAACGGTGGCGCGACGCTAGATTGGGAGAAATGAAATGCTATTGAATTGAAATGAATTAGTGCTGGTTTCACCTGATTGCTTTTAGATGGGTTATCAAACAATATGATGATGTTTTATTACATAAGCTTCCGAACGCCGATGTAATTTTCGCACAAATAGCGTTAAATCTGTTATGCCTGAGGTCGATAATTGTTTGCTATTTCATTGATCATGCTGACCTCTATTGCTTTTTGCTGTTTTATCTCCAAACCGTGACACGTTGCAGTTCTTTTACAGATGAGGATAAAGCATTGGGATTAAATTCAAGTCACGTCCGTACCTGTCGAAAGCTTCCTATGTGTAGGTGGTGTACGTGATTGGTTTTACATACGGCACTGGTGTGCAATGCAGCCAATGGCTGTTCTGATAAGTGACACACTGTTACCCAAGAACCTTGCAATGCTAAAGGTCGCCAACCGGGAGTACTCGAAATTGCACATCACACAATGCTCAGAGTTGTCTTTCTCAAAACATCTGCATGGGTCTGCATGATGGATCTATGACCGCAGTGGATCTCGAAGCAAACTGCAAGTAGGATATATGATCCCACCGAATCTCGCATAAAAATATATCATTGATCTATGATATCATATAGGATGTGACGATAAACCAAGAACATGGATCTGCGGAAAGCATATTTCCAAGGGTTTTTTATGTCAATAAGTGCCACAAAACTATGAATTATGACGTGCAATCGCCTAAAATAACTAAAACAGAACTGTTGTGGTTTGCAGCAAGTGTATCGTCAGGATTTCTGCGTTGACAAAAAATAAGGGAGGATCTATGGTCTCACTGAATCTCAATTATAACATTAGACTCGGATCTATGATACCAATAGATCTCTCGATAAATTAAGGAGCTTGATCTATGATACCATCGAATCCGAGGTCGGGATCCGTGGGATCAGATCCCAGGTCAATTTTCTCGGATCTGAGCGTGCACATGTCCATGACTCTCCCTAAAGGAGACGACCAAAATGATCAGCGGTATTCAATTTCTATGTATTTTGGTTCCATGTTTCACTGAAAGTGAGATAAACATTATGCACATCACAGTATTTAACATATTATATATAACATATAGAGATTGTAGTCCTTTCCTTCATATTTAGAGATAGTGTACTAACCCACTCATTTCATTTTTGTGTCGATTTTCGCTTAACCAGCTCGCCCGTATTGGTGTTCTGCTAGCCGCGAACGTATAAGGGGAGGGGGCTCCGTTGGACCTCCATTGCCGTTTCGCCCCTGATCGAGCTAGAGCTTCGCGGAAAAAAAAAACGAGCGTGTTGCCCGTGACGAGAGAAAGCCGGTGATACCCAATTTTAAGGTCCTAGGTCATCGGTTGACCTTCCAGGCCAACCGACTTTTGGTCAGTGGCCCAAAAGTCGGGAAAATCGTGACCTGTTAGAACGTCGTAAATTGTGGCTGCTATGGTTTTCGGGGTGCTGATCACGAATATCATGTTAGTTTTGATCACAGATGTCTTCACGCATTTAGGCCAGCTCGGGTCAGGTCAGGTCAGGTCAACCTGTCGGGGCCCTGCCGGGTATTGTAGCAGATGTCAACCGCCTCTGACAGCTTCGTAACATGTTACGAAGGCACCAAAACTACTTCGCAAATGTTCAAATGCCGTTGCTAAATTCGAATTCAGCTCTACAAACTAGCCTACAAACATATGAAACTAGAAAAAGTGAACCGAGGTCATCAAAGGTCAATGACCTGACCTGACATTCAGGTGAACTTGATACCCACCCTAATGCATGGAACCAGCAGCATATTACATGTATGAACGCTTGAAAGTTGAAACCACGAAAAGACTGGAAACGCGTGGCTAATGCGAGCCGACAAACGCTGAATTGCGATTCCAGCCAAGCATGGTCTCAAAAAGTAGGTCACAGGTCAAAAGCCATTTGGGTCAGGGTCATGAAATTTTCAGGGTAGGTGTAAAATTGATAAACGCGAGAATACTGAAAGCTTTGTCGTGAATGGCGGCTTTTTACGCGAATTATTCGCGAAAAACCGAGGGGGGTGCGTTCGACCCCCCACCCCACCCACCCTATACGGGCGGGCATGCATCGTCTCTTTTGTGTGATGAGAAGTCAGCAATGCTTTCGGAAGCTGAAGCACAGGAACACATTATAGTACGATGGACTATACGCATAGGTACATACAATACGATACTGGAATCGTGTCATCTGCGTCTGTTTACCTTCACCTCAACAATTACCTTTGCTTTGGTTTCGTTCTACCGATAAATGCCGGTGAAATTATCGTTCATGCAATCTTCATAAACATTTCATCTTTAGTAAGCTTTTCAACCGCGGCCATTGTCAACTGTAGAGAATCCAAGGACGTCCTAATGAAGTCATGGAACCTGTCCTAGTATTCTGGCCTAGCACTATTCAGTCCTCTATGTCATTTTTCACTGCGCCCACATTGCCGCTGCCGTGTGACCAATGTCAGAATAACACCTCTCTGTCCGATAGCTGAGCCCATTGGGGCCGACCGAACTGCGGGACATCGCTCTTCAGCAAAGGATGGAGTCACCCGCCGGACACTATTCGACGGCGTCATTTTACTCCACAGCCCGGAGCAGTTGAGCAGCTGTCAGTACAGCCTTGTATACGGGCTAAGCGATCCTAAAAACCTCAGATTGAAACACTAGTGTTCAACATCTTAAGCTCTGATTACATTTAAAACTAAATAAGGATATCATTGTAGAAGCCAACATGTGTCTGCAATAGTAGCACAAAATAGCCGTCTCGTCGTTTTTAAAACATCTGGACCATTTGTGTGAAATAAGCGTCTAGACGGAAACGAGCCCATTGAGCTCCTCTGAATGAAGGCGACAACTTTAAAACGCCTCACGGGCTACTTCTGAACGCCCTCTGTGACGTCACAAATGACCACATTAACCCCAGAAGTGGGAGGCTGGAGCCGGAAAACGCCTACATCAATCTCTATCTCTGTTGAATTTTCGCCATCGCCCATAATGAACTCTTCATAAGCATGGCTCTCGAGTCCAACCATTCACCACATTAAGCATCACATGGGTGGTTTGATTTCATAACTAAAATGCATCTACGAATGCTGAATAGTGCACGCTAGGTAACAGATTCGTGATGCCGCAATTTTGAACTTGTTCGCTGGTAATCCGCAACCGTCAAACCATGCTCCTGTACTTTCACTCGCTTCGCTAGTCCTTCCCTGTCAGTCGTATTGCCCGGCCTGATTTTCGCCGCCGCCGTCCAGGCCAATCCTGCGGCTAATAGATGACAAACACGGCTGGTGTCTGTCCGACCTCGGGCTGTCGGTACAGGGCCGTTATTGTGGGCCTGTCGGGATGGCCCGGCGACATTAATCTGCATGGAGAGACGTGATCCGGCCGCTAACCGTGCCCGGCCGCCTGGTAACGGCTGAGTGGGCAGGGAGGGCTGAATGGCGGCCCCAGTCTATGACACGGTGGCTATGCATGGTGTATGGGGTGATGACTATATAGCATTGTGGCTTTACATGGAGTATGACATAGTGGTTTTATGGTGTATGGCATGGTAGAAGGACTGTAGCTTCTGTAGCACCGCCATGGTAACTGTAAGCTATACGGTAATGGAGGAAAGTGGAGAAATGGAGACCGGAAACGGAGGCGAATGAAGTCTGGCCGTGGTAACATCAAAATGGCTGAATTCACTTCAGGATGGCTGCGGTATGGCAGCTGCAAAATGGTCGTTTTTCTCCAGTTCTCCACTGGTCGCTGCTACTCTCTTTGCTACAATTATCCGGCCACAGTAACTACACTTGGCCATGATAACTGCGGCTGCAGTCCAGCCAATCCTGCACGGCAACCATGGTAACTCCATAGCTGCCATGCTAATTGCAAACCTGTAACTGCAGTCTGGCCATGGTACGAGACATAATTCGGCCATGGTGACTGTACTGTGGCGTTGGCTACTCAGGTTTGACTAGTGCAGTTGCAGACTCGCTGCTGTTCGCTCATGGTGACTACAGTCTTATACCCGTGTGAATGGCGGAGCTGTCATTAACTCTACAACTGCCATGACAACTGCAGTATGGCCATGGTAACTGCAGGCTGTCAGCTCGGTCTGGCCATGGTCCATGCTAACAGAACAGTCAAGGTGGCTGTGTGACGGCCATGGCAACTGCAGCCTGACCATGACCACAGTAAGCACAGTTCGGCCGTGGTAGACGCAGGCTGCCCCGGTAACTGAACGGTGCCGGATGAAAGGGGCTGACGCAACCGACAGAGCCTGATGGTCAGCCACAGCCACTGGATGGCTGATGGTCCACGGCGGACGTGAGCCATTGTGAGCGCTGGATAGAAACGGTGTAGATTTAGGACATTAAGTTAGAATTTGTGTTATTTGCTAACTTTTGGTATACGGTGTCTTACATATGTTTGCTATGTTGTTTGAGGATGACTGACGAATTTACCTGGCGTTACTCTGCTTGGCGACACTTCTTTCCTGCAACGAGCTCGTAATAAAAATACATCCGACGCTTAGGCACATCTGACATAGGACTCAATTTTTTGCCTTGCCATTCACCTCATAAGCTTAGTGGTCCGGCCCAATCAATTTTTTTTTTCATGGACAACAAATGGTAAGAGGTGAAATTTGGGTAATTGAGCTCTCAGCTCTGGGTAGCCACGCCACTTTTGGGTACGCTGAAAATCGACGGAGAGGCACTCTTACCCAGGTCCGTTCGACCACGGATTGCTAACGAACAAGCTAGCCTATAAGCACAATTCATGGGCCCATCTTCTATCCACTGAATACCATAACTGTAACGCTAGTGGGTCATGCGGATCTCAGACACAGCATCGTCGTTCTAACGTCGATTGAATGTGTTCCGGCACGACCCGCGGAGCTGCTCGGCGGGGGCCTCAGCCGCCGCGGGATGGCCTCCAGTACAGGCCGACAATCCAAGTGGCCGTTACCGTCAATGAACTGCACCGCCACGAACCGCCGATGGTCCGGAGAGGCGCCCCGAGCTCGTACCCCGCGCCGCGCGCTCGTATAATTAACACCATCAGCCCATAAATTACGGGCGTGTTGCTGTGTAGCTCCGTGATGCCTCGTAAATGTGGTGAACGGTGGTCGGGCCATGGGCTAACCGCCGCCTGACATGTCAAGACGCGGCAGGGATTTGGCGGGCTTCTGTGAGCTTTTTCCGGCTAGTGTCGAAGGACATTGAAGCCCTTTTGGTGGTATGGGACTACTGATACCATATCTTTGTGTCTTTCACTGGTATCACTTCACCACGCCCATGAACATATTCGGTGTCTTCTATACAGCGAATGGATTCGTGCTTTGCAGTTTGCAAGCAGCGAAACCTCTTATGGGTGTTTTTTTTTTCTCAGCGTTGTGACCTAACGCACGCCGATCAGCACAACTTGATAGAATAGAAAGAGAAGGACGGAACAGTGACTGTTGAACTCGTTGCAGCGATGGCAGCTCACATAAACGTCAATATTGGTCATGACACGCAAGTACTTTCTTATGCCTGGGTCCAGATATTCTGACTGATATGGTCTGGCCAAACAAAACAAACAAACAAACACGTAAACAAGCAAACACGGGAACAAATATATGGGGCAGCCCGTCACTCACCTGAATCGTGCACGAACACGACCGACTTGGCCTCGGCCAGCGACGTCATCGGCTCGCCCTCGAGCATGGCGCGCAGCATCTGGTCGACGACGCCCTCCACGGACATCTCGCCGACGTCAAGCAGCAGCTGCGCCTCCTTGATGAACAGCGACACGTCCAGCGAGGCGCGCACCTCCGAGCCGAAGTCCTTGCGCGTCACCTTCTGCAAATGACGGGCAAACAGAACCGGTTTATGTCGGCTCAGCAGGCCGGTGGCCGCCTCGCCCGTGGTGTCGGGCGTGTCACGCGAGCCGCGGCCCGTGCTGCTCTTGCGCCGGATGCCCTCGGTGCTGCCGTTGCGACTGGAAGCGGCGCTGAACGGCTGCGGCAGCTGCCAGCTACCGTACAGCGTCGCCCACGGCTGGGTCAGAGAGCAGCGCCGCGTCCGCTGAGCCTGGCTGCTGTCCAGCGTCTTCTTGAGCACGACGCCCGGTCCGAGTGGCGTGCAGAGCGCCACGGGGGGCACGTCCACCACCGGCGCCGACGGGAAGTAGTCCTCGCTAAACGAGGAGCGTCGCAGCACGCCGCGCTGCTCGGACGGCGTGCTCGCGCTGCCGCCGGCGCCGCGCGGACCCGTCAGCATCGCCGCCATCGACATCTGCTTGACGAGCCGTCGCGGCGGCTTGGGCCGCGGCGCGGGCGCTGGCCGCTCCTCGGGCCTCACCATGATGGTGACGCCCCGCGCAGGGTCCGACGGAGACGTCACCGGCGGCGGCCGCGCCGCGCCCGACGCCGGCACACATGTCGAGGTCGCTGTGGAAGCCGAGGAAGGCGCGCTGCTGACGGGGGATCGGGCCGGCGCGCCGGACGGAGAGGAACCACCGGGCCGTCCCGGCGGCGCCCCGGCCGCCACGGGAGACGCCGGGGAGCCCCCTGAGGGCGCCGGAGACTTCACAGCGGAACCTGTGCTCGAAACGGGACACACTGCCGGCACGGGGGACAGCGCGGACGGCTTGGCGGCCCGCGCGGCGAGCGGTCCGGCGGCGGAGGTCGCGGAGGCCGCGCCGGAGGAGGTGACCGGCACGCGGACGGCCGGGCCGGCGATGGAGGTCACCACGGACACTGGCGCGGAGGCGGAGGTGACGGCGGAGACCCGCGGCCCGGCCGCCGAGTCGGCCGAGGCCCTCTCCGGCTCACCCATGTCTACTGGAGGTGGCGCGGCCTGGCTCCCCGCCGCCAGACTGAGGACACGCGGCAGCCGACGAGCCGGCCGGCGCCGGCGCGCCGCCCGGGCCACCGCCGACTCGCTTGTCAGCACCACCGGAACCGGGGAAAAATCGCCAACAACTCGCCGCCTGATTACGCTAAATGATTCCTTGATTAATGAATGTTCCCTGGAGGTAAATACCAGTAAAACGCCTTTTGGGCGAAGAACGAGCGAGCGAGATAGTGAGCCCTGCACGTGCGGAAGGGCAAGAGGGTGCTTCCAACGGGCTTGTGCAAAGCACCCTTCTAACCGGTTGCTAGCGGTGTGGCAAATTTGAACGCAATCGGCCCAGCCGTTCCTGAGATCTGGAAGCGGCATTCTGCACGTACGCACGTGCAAACGGGGTCCAAAATGACTTTTGCACGGCACCCTACTAACTGGTCCCCAACCGTGTACCTAATTTGAGCGCAATCGGCCCAGCCGTTCTCGAGATCTGGAAGCGCCCCCTGCACGTGCGCACGTGCAGTAGCACCCTAACCGCAACACATGGGAATGCATTGCCTGGTGGGTGCCTACCTGTATGCCAAGTTTCAGCGAAATCGCCCCAGTAATTACCGAGTTATTAAAATGGGAACAAATTTGACACCTCTTATTGTTGTATTTTGCACGTGCACTGGGGGTGACCCACATGCATCGAGAGTATCCTATTTTTGGTAGAAGGGATGCTGCTACCCTACACAAATTACCGCAAGCCAATCGCCCAAGCGGCTGCTGAGAAATGAGCCTCTCAAAATCACTACTTTTGCAAAACAGCTTGAACACCCTTGACTTTTCACGTGGCACGTGCCACGATGGTCACTGAGATGTATCAAAAGTAGTCAATTACGGGGTAGAAGGGATGGGGCTACCCAACAAAAAAGACCGCAGGCCAATCGGTCTAGCGGTTGCTGAGATATAAGCCTCTCAAAAGCGTTACAGGCCGGGCCGGGCCGGGCCGGGCCGCTCATACTGAGATTTTTCCGTTATATTGAAAAGACTCACTTCGCTCGCTACGCTCGCTCGCTCGTAACAAAACCCCTTGCATAAAATGCGGCCGAGGAACTTCCACTTATCAACAATGTAACCAGGTTTTGGCCTTGTGTACTCGCTGTAAACTTCTCGGCATCGTTCCCGTGGGTGTCATGCATCCAATCTCCATTCAATGGGTTGGCTGCATGCAAAGCCACGCGGAGGTAGTAGAGATCTGGTAAGCATTATCTTCATGTACCGGACGAAGAGAATGGATGAAGAAGACGTGGTGAAAGAACGGCTTCGACATTGCTTTGAGAAATTTGAGAATTGCTTTCGAAATTATTCTATGCTTTCCTTAAAGACGATGCCTTGTGCATTATGCAATATACCTACACGTTAAAAAGGCGTATGCGCAGTGGATGGAGCTAAGTAGGGGAAGCCGGGGGAAGCCCGGCATAGTAAGCTCTTTTTCATTTTTATTACATACCATACGTGCTGTATAAAATGTTGATATCCTGCTAGCTAGCTAAGTTCATTGGCCGTATTTTCCCAAAAATTCGGTTTCGTGGAATAAGTATAAGGTTGAGAAAATCGAGTTTTAAAAAAGTGTTGATTTTTCTGGGGTAAGCCCGGCATAGGGGTAACGCCGGCCACCTCCCCAGCGCTTTACAACGAGTTGATGAAACCATTATGTGTTTTCCAAATATTAACGGAAAGTGAAATATTAAGGTACTGATTAGCTCTGGACATCTTAGAGTTTATGTCACTACTGGTATTTTAGCTAGCGTCGACTACATATACAGTACAGGTCGATGAAAATCGTGATGCAAAATTGACAAAAAATGTGTATTTAAAAAATCCTTAAAATTTATTTTTATTTTTACCTTAATGCATCATATTGCATATCATTCGACTCGGCTGATGAAGAAGAACACAACGACACCATTTTTGAAGCTCTAGCTTCATTGTCTGTCGCGTTATCTGCAAAAACGTAGTTTGACCCTAGTTGACCTTAAGTGACATGACTGGCTGTGTCTATGATATCATGTTTATTTTCGAAATTTATCTTTGATCTAGGTGTAAACCAAACCTGCTCAGTACCTATTATCTCATGGAAAACAGTGGTTTAGCGGCATTGCTCTCGGTTGGGGGCACGGAATATATAGTCTACGACATGGAATGGACAGGAGCTTCGATTAGCATGGCCACGTGTGTAACCAAAAATCAAGGATTTTGCCGGATGAATATCCGGAGATCCGGAGGATGCGGATGAATTTCTTTCCACGTGGGTTTACATTTTCATATATTTTCTTAACATTTCATACATTTTTTCTTAACAATCGTCGAATGATTCGTCTTCAAGGGCCAAGTCGTAACTGTGACTTTGAAATGGTGACCGTATATTTTATTGGAAACTTTTGGCACACATTGTTACAGGAGCATTTATACATATTCATTGCATTACAGTTTTAACATTAGTCTAAAATTAAATGAAATTCGATGAAATTCGTCTAAAACTTGAAGATGAGGAAGTGCGAGCACTCGCGCTCTACTTTCAGGGTCCCAGGGCTATATATGGCCTTGGTCCCAGGGCGTATCGGTTCCTACAAAAACAGTACGTCCTTCCCCATCCTCGAACTCTGCGGAAGATGGAAAAAATACAGATGCGACCTGGCTTTCATGACGCTATCTTGGCTCTCATAAAAGAGAAGTTCGCCGGAGCAAGTGCCAAGGACAAGCTGTGCATCATTTCGTTCGACGAAATGCAGCTGAAACCAAGGTTGGCCTACCAGCGGGGTGATGACGTCATCGAGGGCTTCACTGATCATGGCTCTCTCTGCCGCGCCAATGCCTGCGCCGACCACGCCTTGGTCATGATGGTGCGGGGCGTCAGTGTCACCAAACGCTGGAAACAGCCCATCGGTTTCTTTCTGACTTCCGGAACGACCAAGGCCGTTGTGCAGCAGCAGCTGTTAACACAGTGTGTCCAACGTGTAACAACAGCGGGATTCACTGTGCTAGCTACAACTTGTGACATGCCAAAGAACAACCAGGCGACCTACATACTGCTCGGAGCTGCGGAAACCGGCTTGTTCACCGTGGACGGGCACGAGGTTGCTGCTCTGTATGACGTGCCTCACATCTTCAAATGCATACGAAATGCATTAATGAAATACGATATTGAAGTAGACGGTGAAGTAGCCTCTTGGAGTCATTTAGAAACACTCTATGCACTGGAATGCGCTTCTTCCCCACGGGCTGCTCCAAAACTAAGCCAGAAACACATCAGGCCAAACAGCTTTGAAAAATGAAAGTCAGCTATGCCCTACAGGTGATGAGCCGGACAGTAGCAGCAGCAATCACATTGCATGCGACCCACGGCAAGCTCCCGCGCACTGCACTCCCGACTGCTACTCTCCTGCTGCGCCTCAACGACCTGCTCGATGTGCTAAACTCTTCCGCCCGGTTCGACCCCTGCTCAAAGCGACGCGCGATATCCAGCCTCCATCCAGCAACGGCGGGAGAACACATGCAGTTTCTTCAGGAGAGCGACGCCTGGCTGCAGCGGTGGACTGACGGTGGCGGCGCCAGCATCGACTCCATTCGAGGACTGCGACAAACGATAAAAGGCGTGGTGAAAATCTGGGACTTGTGTCAGGCTGCTGGGTGCACGTTCCTGTGCACTCGCCGCTTAAACCAAAATCCAAGCTACTGAAAATGAAAGAGTTTATCTCGGCAAAAATATATATTAGGCACATACACGGTGCTTGTGTACCTACTTATAATGAAGAAACATTATGACAACGTTTGAAACGTTTAACACAACCCCTCATCTAAATGCATTCATGAAACGTGAGTGGGCCAATAAAGGCAACTAGTTTTAACTGTAACAAAAAAGCACTTCTGGGCACGTAAATGGGGTAAATGTGGTAAAATGTGGTAAAATTCGCCACCCCATATCGCCTCTACCGGAAACCCGTTTTAACCCCCGAAGGACATTGGCA